CTCTGTATCGGTCCCTTGGCTTCCTGCCCCACCCACTATGGCACATCAAAAGGCACGGTAGCTTCGGACAGCCCTCTATGGAGACAACCGTATCTATATGGTAATCACATAGTGCTCCACAAGGTCTAGCTAGAATCTCCGTAGGGGAGCCAGAGGCTTCCAGTCAAAGATGATCGAACAGGATTGGTTGGCATTCTGACCAATCAGGACATGCATTCGTTTGGTACGCATTTTGCACGTGACACACGTCCAAATGGTGCGATGTTCAGTTATTAGGGACGACAGGCCTCCGGACAGCTACTGCCTCCAATACGCAGCTATCTACTCCACCTCCTCTAATCACCTGCTAACAAAATAGTGGCAGCTATAACCACTGCGGTGAGCTTGCGTTTTTTACAGCTGGTGTTGATGAGATGACAATATTCACCAGAGAAACTGAGCGGAAACTGCTGGCCATACCTGTTTGACCTTCCAAGTAGTATGGTACATCTGGTTATTCCCATAGACTACACTAGAATGTGAGAGCGGTGTAGATCTAGGTATGTTTTCCTCAATTCAACCTTGGTCAAGTTGGTAATATGCAAGTAAAGACAAGGAGAATGTTTTCAAAGGACTCAGCCATACCGTGCACACTCATAGTGCAGGAAACCATATACGTGTGTGTAGTGACCACAGGCTCCCCATCCATGACTACGAACATAGGTTTGGGCTCCAGGTAACCAGTGATCAGTGGTTAAGGCACCAGCTTACTAACCCGAAGTTCCGTGGTTCGAGCCCAACTCCATCTCTCGACTGCCCCGGTCAGCCAGTTATTTCCTCAGCAGGGCATCACACGAAGAACAGTTCATTTCACTTTTTCAGCTCGCAAATGTGCACCGAAATGTGATCCCACCTGATACAGCTTCGTTCACCGAAGCTAAGGAAATGACCCGACCCGTGCTTATATGACAAACGAAACTGTTTGTCCAATATAGCAGGTGGTGAGAGCTACACACTGAAGGTGATAGTTTCGATGAAAGACGGCCATTGGCTGCGTGACAACCTTGTTACAATGGGGGTCAAACTGCCCTTTCTGTGGTTACCACATTCACTGCGAGTGCCCTTTTTGTCGGCTCACCCCAGTTATCTGGAACAATCTTTCTCAAATAGGCAAATAGGCTAGACAGGTACTGACTGAGAGATTCATCGTTATCCTTGAACAGAGCGGGTGTAAGTTCGCGAGGGCCAGGAGCACGATGATGTTTGAGTGAAGATATACACCGGGACACTTCTGAGACTGAAACGGGCTCCACGTTCACAGTCCACCTTTCTACTGAAGGCCAGTAGACTGGATTGGAGTTAGCAGGTGGTTAACTGAATTGTTGTTCGAAGTACTGTGCCCAATGTTCCAATCATTCTTTACTGGATATCAGAGAGCCGTTTTGGCCCATGAAAGTTCCGTTGACAAATAGCTTTCGAGGACCAGTCGAACGAATCAAATAGAACAGCCTGCGGATTTTCCCAACTTTTTTTGCCCCTTCCATTTCTTCGGCCTCTTAGGTTCACCAAGCTTCCTGGTCTGTACGGACACTCAGCTTTGCCTGGTGTCGGAAGATGCGTTAGGAGGAATCTATTGTCGGGGCTCTAGTAAAGCCCCGGTTCTATCAGAGATCCAATGTATAGATGAGGTTGAGTGGGTTGTACCAGAGACGGAAGTTTCCTTAATGAGTGGCACTATGGATATTTGTTCCAAGTGACCGGTAATATCCGACGTAGGACGGTCCGGCAGGCGTTAGAGGAGCTGGTTCTGGAAGATTCGTTTGATTTCTGGGTCCATTAGCTTTTTGATGGCTAAGCGAGGTGTGCATGTTTTGCGTAGACCTGAAAAGTGCAATGTAAAGCAGCAACACACTACGTGATTGGAGTCCACACTGGTATTCCAGGAGGAGCGGCAGGCATTGATCGAGCCTCGCCACCGATAAATGACGGCGACATGGTCTATTTGGATTTGGGACTGGTTCGTTGGTAGGCATCACGTCTTCTAGCGATTTCCCCGGTTCAGGAAATTGGCACTGCAAAGGAACAATCTGTGATCAGCACACATCTGAAGTAGGTTATTTCCGTTGTCCATGCATCTCATATCTAACCCACGACGACCATCGAATCGGGCATCAGCAGCACTTAATCTGCCTGCCTGGGCGTTCATGACACTACCAACAACAACTATGTCTGAGCTTTTAGCTTGTAGCGGAGGAATATCTAGAACGCTATAGAAACTGTCTTTAGCAGATTCAGTCCTTTGGGGTGTAAGCGGTTGCGATGGACTTCACTTTCTCGAGATTCTTTCACGGGCGTTGCCAAAGGAATCGTATGGAAGCGACTATCAACAGGTGTCCGATCAGGTAGTGACACCACTCGATCGCCCAGTACAATAGTCACCCCTTCAGGTCCAGCTCCAGCGGTTTCTGCACCACCAAAGGCACGCGGCCGGAACCTGGAAGAGAGCCAGGAACAGTCAGTTTAATGACAGTAATTGCGTTCGATATCCTTATTTTTGACAGGATGCATGCATCAATGCAGAGGGAGTCCAGCGAGGTGGACGGCACATGACTTGGTAGAAAGGCGTCAAAGAGATCACGAAGAGTTTGGATGTTGTTGGTGTTGTACGCCTTCCAGGATGGGGTCCCCGTGACCCCATCTGTGCTTGGCTGGAGACGTTGCAAGAAATGGCAGCGTTCATGCTGTCAAATTCTTTTCAGACTTTCTGATTGAGCGGTTGGAGGTGTAGGCACCTTATATATATATATAGACGAATTATGGTTGTACGGCAGTGAAGCATCAGTGCTAACACTGATGTTGCTGTCTTTGATGATGATTCCATTGTACGAGCAAATTACTTGTTCTGCTTGCTTCAGTGTGCAAACATCACAGGCAACTAAGTAAACCGGCTTTCGGGGTTTGAAAACAGGTTTCGAAGTGTTTGGGGTTGTCACTGAAGTCACAGGAATCGCATCTGCAAAGCTGTCATTCCTAGTGCTGCGACCTGCGGAAGAAGCATTTGAAATTAGGTGGGGTAGCATAGAAGAGGGGAGGTGTCAGCAGTAGCGTGTTTTCGTTCGCCTTCCCTGCTGCATACAGCAAATAAGGTAACCCGGCTGGTGATAGCACGCGACGGCCGATGTGGCTTGAGGTTATTTTTATTTGTATCATGGTTGTACATAGGCTGGGATATTGCCAGGGCACACACACTTAGACAGAAGGACGATTCGGGTCCTCAATCCTTGGCTCAAAAGCCTGACCGCAAGGCATCGGTGTTTGGTGGGAAATACGAGTACATTGCCATTTTTATGGGACAGGTCGCCAGACATGTTTCAAACCCTAACATGGAGGACCAGGAGACTGTGCATCAGTCCTCTAATCATTGACCAACCTGGTCTGAGGGACTGAATGTCGCCTGGACATCACCCAGTATAGTTCAATGGTCACGGAGGCGCATAAACCATCATACCACATTGAGGTCTAGTCTCTTTGTGTCGCCTCTTTGTGACTCGTCCGCAAGTATGGGGTTTGGGCTCGATCCCACGGTGTCCTTCAGTGACACTACATTTTCCAGTCGTGAAGCTCATGCCAAACACTGAGGCACAATTATTCTGATTACTTAATATCTCCCACATTGCTATGACGTCAGATCCTATGAAGGCTTTGACGTCTATGTGTTCGATGTGTGTTAGTGAACAGCCTGAGTGTCTTCAACTCCATTGGCGTCAGGAACCGAGGCTGAGTCTTCCCTAACGTTGTAAATGGCCAACTTGAGGAGGAAATGTGAAAGAGAACAAACTCACCTGACGTTACTTGATGTAGTGAACTTAGGTGAGAGCGGGAGTTGGCGCACAATGCCTTAAGGAGGGCCAAGGTTCTACGGGAGACACCTCTCCACAGGTACTTCCACTACGCCCAACAGTACACAGACTCGACGACGTCCCTTGCTGGAACTGCTGGGGATACCAGTATCTTCAAAAGTCTTAGTTTATCGTTTCTGACGGGAACATCGGATTAACAATACTGATGTACGCCAGATGGTTTTAGGAAAAAGCAACTCTCTCACGGTAGTTAAACTACCCATGCTTCTTAGGGTAAGTTGGTTGAAATATGTACTCCGTACGTCAGTTGACTATCTGCATCGCACGAATCCCTTCTCCCGGCCCAATGCTGACCGAGTGTGACGGAGAGTTTGATAGTGGATAACCTGACAACAAACTATGAAAACACTAACCAATATACCAAGGCACATTGACAGCCGCCGCCTACCCGAATGGGGACCCCGGAACTCAACTTGTCAGTGGTAAATGACACTGACAGACATGGCTTAACCACGTAAACAGTGAGGAGACCTATCGTCTCCAGTGAGTGGCTCCCCAGTTTCTGAAACTGAGGGAGCTTGTATACAAGGCAACCGTAGGAGAAATCCTTGTTTTTGGTTGCGAATCTCGATCTACAGACGTTAGGTCAACGAAGGTAAAATATGCGGAATACATCCATAAGCTGCAGTCTCCTCCTCGCTTTTATTTTTTTCGTAAATGGGTCACTGTTCATGGCTGTCGTTGACAAAGATGTCATTCTTGAGGATATGACCTTATTTTTAACTGGATGTCTGAATTCCCAACAACACTTTTTTTATATTTCAGTGACTTATTGAAGGCTGTGTTTTCCGGTGTCCCGCTGACACGGGCTACATACAGTCATGTCCCACGTATTGCTTCATTTTGCACGCAATGTGACGCCCTCCACAAAATCTGTGTTTACACCAGGACGATGCCGTACATTGTTACTGTCCTTCATGCGGTCCAAGTCAGTAGCTGCTGTCGTCCATCCTGTAGACCGTTATCAAACTGTTGGAAAATGGTTGCTCGGTTTATCTGGCATGACCTTCGGGGCCGTTGTTTTGGGAGGAGCTACAAGGTTTTCCTAGCTTTTTATCCCGTCATTATGCCCCGTGCAGGTTAACAGAATCTGGGCTTTCTATGGTTGACTGGCATCCCTTCAAAGAAGCTCCACCTCTTACGGAAGAACAATGGCTCCGAGAATTTGATAAGTACAAGCAATTTCCGGAATACCAATAGTAAGCCTTTCAAAACACTTTGTCTTTCTTCCAGCCAGGTGAATCAGCATGGTGAAATGTCTTTATCGCAATTCAAATTCATTTGGTATATGGAGTACTCGCATCGCATGTGGGGACGCCTTATTGGCGCTGTGTTCGCCATTCCTGGGGCATATTTCTGGTACAAGGGTTACTTTACTCGTAGGATGAAACCACGAGTTCTGATCTATGGAGGACTGATCGGTCTTCAGGTATGCAAACGTTTCCCCCCTTCAGTATGGCTGTTATTTTTCTTGCCATGAGGTCATCCAGTTGCAATTTTAGTCGAATTTCAAGAACCAGGGAGCTACGGAACTAACCGTTGCTTTGGCTTTTTATAGTGGTGCTTTTGTTGCAGTCAATTAGAGCGACACTGTGCTTTTGGCGGTAACCTATGCTCCGTGTATCGTTCAGCCGTAGCACCCTTTCTGTGTCTATTTGACATACCATCCGTCTAGCGCACTAGAATTGAGATACTGCCAGGTTTCTCAAGGCTAGACAGGAGCAGTCGAGAGGCCGGTGTTGCGTTCGAATCACCGACTTTCCTGCCAGTCAGTTTACACTTTAACCACTGTACCATCTCGAGCTGGGTGTATATATGTACCGCTTACCGCGCTATTTTTGCAGAAAGTGGCCAAGCGTGGTGAGCCCATATATATAGGTCTAGAGTTTATGGACTCGATCCGTCTTATATTTTAGCCTTATGTTGAGTTTGGATAAAGCTAGTCGGAGCGGTACATTCAGACATGTTATTCAGCACCAGATCATGTAATATGGTCTTGAAGAACGTTCAGCCTTGTTTGAAAAACGGTTGTGATGATCACTTGGAATTTCGCTGATTTGTCCTTCATCTCTCCCAGACATCGTTTCAACTCACAAATCTGTTTGCACTTGATAAGCTCATCCAATCGAACAACCAGTTGTCCACTGGGAAATTTGTGGTCGTTTGTGCAGGTCTCAGTATTTTGTTCTATGGTCTTCCCGATGGTCGAGTGGAATGCCGCGACTGTGTGTATTTTCGAATGATCATAATGAATACATGGATGAAATAAGATGTCGTTGTCATCAGCTGTCGCCTGTGAATGAAGCATGGTGGATCTAGGCGATAGATTCACCCACTGCCAATTAGAGGAGTCGCGCACTTTATTCACATCGCGCTTAATGTTGTCGTACAAATACAGTAGCGATGGCACTATGGTCGAGAAACAAGGATGTAACAAACGTGTGCGAAATAAAAGGGTATTCTAAAAGGACCATTGTATCTGCTCCCTGCACATATTGCTTAACTTTGCCACCTTATTTCTAATCATTTTTGCCGAAACGTGATTCTGATAATTTTCTGACTCGGAGCTCGCAAGTTGTGCAGTGATTCTTTCAATTCTGAGTGCAACCCTGGTTAATGTAGTGCAAATTCTTACCACACATTATGATTCTCTTGTTCTCATGTTCTTATTCACTGTTACTACCACCAATCCGATGTTAGCGTGGTGCGAGAATGGCTCAAGTGGTTAGAGCGCGGATTTACTGACCTGAAGTTCCGTGGTTCGAACCCGACCTCTACCTCTCAACTTCCCTAATGTAGGCTTGGGCAACCTGGCAGTATCTCAGCCCTCGTACTTCTTTCGGATAGCATTGCAGATAGGCACTGGAAGAGTGTTGCAGCTGAACGACGGGGATTTTTCACTGCTTTTCATTGGTAGGAGGTTTCATGGTGAAATTATACTTGATTCCTACTATGGAATTGAGGGTTGGTTCTACAGACCCGGTTTGCGTTGTTTCATCTGAGCTAGCTCCCAAATTGGGTGGGATGTTGTTGGCCTAATTGCTTGATCGAACGCGTGATAGACAAAATGAAGACTAAACCAGACAACGCGGTCGAAACGAACATATGACCAGTAATAGCAAATCATAATAAAGCAAACGGCCGTATAGGACAGCAATCAACATTCCGTGTAGCGGTATGCTCACAGAGAATGACAACAGTGTATGGTGGCGTTCAATTTCCGTGTTCTGCTTTCAGGAACATCCACCTGGAACCGAATCAGACGAAAAGAAAAGACAGAGAAGGTAGTAATGACTGCCAGGTGTGAGCGTCTAGCTATTCGTACAAACTACAAGTGGAATTCGATATTCGATAGAATAAGGAAGTAGGAACGAGTTTGCACGGAAACGTCACCTCCGAATGTTCGTATTCCTGTGAGGAACCTGCGCCTACTGTGTTTGTCATGGACAGTAAGAATACTCTGACTGGCTATCCTAGCGTTGACAGAGTTCAGTTGTCTGCTTTTCGTCGCTTTTCGTCTACATACTCTGTCCGAAGGGGTTCTGCATAATGCTTTTACTTTAGACTATTCCGTCAAGTCGAAGGCTTTCCGGGCCTTTTGTGAAAACCTCACCCCGTTCTTCCTTACGCGTTCTACCTGATTGTCCACCGCAGGGCCTTCTTGGTTGGTTGATGGTCCGTAGTGGGCTGAAGGAACCGCAACCACCCGTTGGACACAAGCCCGGAGAACCTTTCGCTGGAGTACCACGAGTTAATCACTTTTGGTTATGCGCGCACTTGAGTTCGGCGGCGATCCTGTTTTCGCTCTTTCTGTGGGGAAGTTTTGACCACCTAGCCCATCATCAACCAGTAAGTATTACCTGTGACTAAGTTCTAGGCTTTTCACGCAAATGATCTATTGTCGCGTTGACCTTCTTGCTTGTTTTCTGGCGTGTTTTCCTGTGCACTGTCCGTTTCAGAATCCCAAGCATTTGAACCAGTTTTTTTTTTAAATTTTACTCAACACAACCACACGAGTGAAACAGTTACGCCTGTGCTGTTGATCCACTGAGAAAACCTAATCGATTAGTCACACAGGCGGTCAGATGTACGGATCCAGCGTTTACTCAACCTGGATAACATATGTAGTCGCCATCTTTCAGTCAGTAAGGGTATAAGGAAGAAAATACTGAAGCAGGATCAGACCATACGTAAACAATTATTCCCAAAGTGGTGGGGTGCATAAAACACTTCGGTCAGATAACCGGCAATTAAATGATCCAGCGACGTTTTCTTGTAAAGGGAGAAGGGATTGGACAGGGACTTCGGTGAGCAAAGAGCTGTGTAGGTAAATGATGCTTCCCGATTGTCCAGATCGAGAAACATGTTTAGGTTGAGGTACCCCACTTCGAGTCTTTGACCCAAAAGTCCGACCCACAAGACAGTGGGAAGAGGAAAGTCTGCTCGGGGCACCCTTGGTTTGAGTCCGAGTTCACATCCGTCCTTCTAAATAGGCGTCTTTTCCTACGGATGTTGTCGCCTAAGGAGTTTTTTCAAGCGCTGAACGTTGGGAAGAGTCTTTTCTGAACTGAGATTTCGAGATTCCTCCCGTCCAATGGACACGCTTATGACGAAAATTGGGACCAAAGATGCTCGATATGCACGACGTTAGCCATAGGAGGGTTGATCTTTGTTAAGTTGTGCGTCCGTGGTATGCTGTGTTTATCGATTCCGTTTCTCCAACCATGTCTGCCAGTATTCGGAACCCATGTGGGGCGTATAAAACTTGACAGATCCACCCAATGCATCCAAACTTTCACCTGTATGGAACCGACAGAAGTAGATGTTTGTCACTTTAAGCCCTCCTAAATTCGTTTGTCCATTCTCATAGGCCAACTGGTTGACAACCTACCTTAGTCATGGAAAATTCCGTCCAACGAACAGTCTGAACAGAGTGAGGTTAGCGACTCACCCTTACTATCTAATTATTTAGTGACGATATGGTACCGCGCGTTTGTTTTTGTAAGGGTAACGAAAACAAATGTGGTCATTTTTTTCAGAAGAGCTTGGTAAACAAT